AGGTCACAACGTCACGTAACAGTGGCGCAGTAAAGCTACTCTATAACATCGACCTCATTCTTAATACTGAATAAATCCTCCTCGCCCTTCTACTCTGCATTTCTTGAGATTCCAAAAAAGTATTTTATTGAATTCCCAACGCAAATATACTAGTAATGGCCAAAATACTAGCAGTAATAAGCCAAATTGAATTTAAAGAATCTCCTAAAACCAGGATACTATAAAGTTGGGCCGTGCAATAATTTTACTTGTGGTTTCTAACATGATATTTGCACATAAAAGTTGTCCAACTTGTGATGGCCAAACTAGATTTGTTTGAAGAGATAATATGGTTGGGCCTACTATACTGTTCAAGGAACGGACGCAAGCACCTATTGATTAAGATTAGGGATTAGGACTCAATTTTTTATGGAAAGAAAACTAAATAGTTCTTACCAATAATAAATACCAATCCGGTTTCTGCCAGCCCATAAATGAAAAGAGAAATTGCGCAAATTTCTAGAATATATATTTTATATCTTTATCTTTACCTATATTTTATTTTATCCTATATTAATAAAGCTGACCCTGGTGGTCTATTACTATTACATACATATATTCGAAAAAATAATCCAATTAATTCCTATACATATTGAGAATGCCCAAATCAAGGTTATTCGCTTTGAGATATCTACATACCTCTTCATAATTAAATACCTCCTTCACATCTTGTGTCTTCTTATTTATGATAATTATATGTTCTCCTTCCATAACGTGCATATATTTATTCCGGTTTTGCATATACTGTGTAGGATTCGTGGTAAATTTACCTTGAGTTTTACGTCTGTTATTTCTAGATCTTTTGGTTTATTTCAAATTTTTCTTCTTTTAATTGATAAAGTGTAGACTTTTGGAGTTGGAATTACACATAATTCAAGAGTATCGGTCAAATTATCATCAGCATCATCAATTATTATTGTACTGTTACTAGTGGCCATTTGTTAAGAAGGATTTCAAAATTAAAGTTCGTTTATGTCTCTTTTCACTACCATATATATTAGTTAATATATTCATGTGAATAATATATCTTTTTTTTTAAGGTATTCATGTAAATAATCACGAATATTGCATGATTTTGTATCATATACATTCTAGAAAAATTTTTATTTATTTAAAAATAAGACAATCATCTATCTCTAAAATAACAATCTTGTCGCATATTGCACATTAATGTCACACCAAATTGATTTTATTTTTTTTTATTGTATTAATCAACGTGGGATGATTAAAAAACCAACGTTCTTTGTGGATGGATTTTTTTTCCTAAAAATATCAAAGTAAAAAAGATCGAAAAAGAATGTTGATTACTTGATAAGTGGATCATGCAACTTATTAAATAAAAATGATTTGACAAGTAGAATCACTAATAAATCAAATGAATTACTTGAACAATGGAAAATTGTTCTAAAAACAAAAAGAAAAGAAAATTTTGTTTCTTTTTATAAATCAATAAATGAAATGGGATATTTCTCAGATGAAGCACAAGAAAATGATAAATTAATTAATAAATTAACAAATGAATTTAATAAAAGTTGTTTGACTGACAAAATCGCTAGATTATCAAATGGATTATTAATCATAATGATTTTGAAAAAAGTGGCGATTCATTTCAAAAAACAAATACTTACTTTTATCTTTTTTTTCTCATTCTAAAACATGTAAATAATCCTCAACATCTGCATTTGCCGTGTGCGCCGAAATCTTACCTATTCTTATGAGTTGATGACAAATATTGGGAACCCCGGCTTGTGTTTTTGCCCTTTAAGAAAGAATAATGGAATAAGTTGATGCCAAAGAATTTGAAATGTATAATTATTTCATACCAAGATAAGTTTGTCTTCACGTTTCTGGACCAATCTCCGATTGCTTCACCATTCTGAAAAATAAATAATGTATTCATATTCCTATAATTTATCGCTCCATTTGTGACTAGATTTGCAATTATAGTTGCTTGTGTCTGCCCCATGGCACCATTACGACAATTTGGTACCGTTGTATCATTGAATCCCGCGTTATTCCAGATAAATAGGAGTGCCGGCATTTCGTCGTTTTCTTTATCTTTTAGATATTTTAAAATGAGATTGACAACGTCTGGATTCATGGCAATATCTTCAGGAACTAGTATGAAAATATATATTAATTAATAAATAATTCATAAACATATCAACGTCAGGGAAATAATTTAATTGCTACTACCTTTTCTATTGAAACTTTTTTCAAGTTCTTGAAGTTTTTTTTCTTGAACTATATATTATCAATACACGGATATAAAAAAAGGTCATAAAACTTTGTTGAGAAAAAAAACAGACGAATACCTTTATTACGAATAAATTTTAACATTATAGAATCTGGTGAGAAGAAAAAAAAATTAAAAATATTGTATATTGATATTAATATCGTGTAATGGAAGGTCATAGAAATTATGATAAATCAATGATCAAAGCTCATCATCTCATGTCCTGATCGTTGTAGAGAGCTGTAACAAGTAGTTTATTTTATTATCATTCGTAACATTAATTTATTTCGTGACAATTAATTCGCGTTCATTTCAATATTAATTTAATTATTTACTATATATTATTATTTATATTATCAATCTATGTAATCATTACATAAAGGACATTTCGCTAGGTTAATAAAGAATAACGTATAACTTGTATTTTTACAATAATTAAAATACTTGTGTCTAAGGACATTCCTGACCGATTGGGATTAAAAATCGATAAAAGTGTGAAGCACGGTAGCCACTGTTCTGACAAAATCTATTTGGAATGGTTTATAATGTGCCATTAAACCTAGCTCCATGTTGTGTATTTTATTTAGACTTTGTAGTTATTGAATACCCAAAGTCTATATTGATATTAAGTAATTCCTTCCTCTATCATCCATCACAAATATCAAAATGAAACATCCTGCGAGACATATTCATTTTTTTTTCCTAGCAAAGTGATCGGCACACGTGATTTTAATTTGATTGTAATTTAGCTTTTCTGCAATTAATGTATTATTTCATTATAACAAATATGAAAAGAAATACTAATAATAAATCCGATCAAAGCAAAACATCTGCTCATTTATATGGAGTGCTTTTATATAAGAAGAAGGATATAATAGCAATTCAAGAAAAACTTGGTATTAATATTAATACATTAAAGCAAATAGAACACAGACCCGATGGGAAAACACTTGCTGATTCATATGAATTGTTGTTAGAATTGGTGGGAGATTTAATATCGATACAGGAGAATCTCAACATTGATGGTAACCCCATTCTGGCAGTGGGATATAATATTGTGGTAAATCAAAACATTAGAGGTTCTTCCGATTTATCACTTTCGAAATTATTTAATTTGCTTTTATACTTGAAAGAGGATATAAACTCAATTCAGGAAAAACTTGATATTGTCGGTTATACTAATCAAGAAATAGCAGAAGAAGCCGATAAAAATGCGAGAGTGTACCTCCAGAAGTTTGAGAAATTCCACGGCCCCTTAGAAGATGTTCCAAGTGTGATATTACAAAAATTTTGCAAAATGGGGGTAAAGAAAATTTGGTTTACTGGAGAGGGACTACCATTATTTCCAAACGTCTCTCCTCATCAATTACATGAGGTTTTCGTCAAAAAATCAGCTAACATCAGTCAGTGTCCATGTCTAAAATCAAAAGTAAAGAAGGGAAAATTATCACAGATATATATAGCATCCCGCCGTGATGTGATTGGTCGATAATTTATATTATATATTGTATATCTTTAGCCAAAAAAATAACTAATGCTTAAATATTTAATTATCTTTCTAAAGATCTTGCCACAAACAAATATAATCCTTGATCAATGGCTCGAGCAAGACTATTTAATATATTATAGCTATCCCATATTGTCCACTGGTAAAGATTGGAATAAGTGGAGGTAAATCAGAATCGGAGAATTCATCATCTGAATAATCTGGATGTTCGATTTTAATTTTTGAATTAAGTTTTTTCATCACTTCATTACTAATCCTTCTACATCCCTTCAAACTAAGATATTTCAAATTAGTACAGTTGTCAGCTATCTCCTCGATAGCTTCATTACCAATTGAGCAATCACCAAGCTCAAGATGTCTAAGTTTTGGGCATGAGTGGGTAATTTCAGTAATACATTGATTAGTGAGACATTTACATGAATTAAGACTTAAGTGTATTAATTTCGGACAAAATTTTGCAATTTCTATAATTGGTATATTACTAAAACCATAACTTCGATTAAGAATAAGAAAGCGTATATCTGGACATGAATGCAGAATTGCACTGATCAAAGCATCCGAGATTTTTAAACCTTCCAAACTAAGATATACCATCTTCGAACAATAGAGTGGTTTTATCTTTCCACACATAACTCTTTTAAACTTCAATAATTGCCAATAAAGATCTCCAGATGAATTGTTATTATATGTGTTTCCTTGACAATCTATGAAAAAATCAATATCTCGCCATAGAATAGGAGCACCGCAGTGATACCAAAGGTGGTTGACGAATAAAGCGGGATAGAGGGATTGATCGATTTTTAAAAAATATAAGATCTGTTCTAGCAATTCTGGTAAATCAAAAATATTTAGACCCTTTGGGTCATTACTCCCTAATAGTTGCGCCATTTTCAAGTAATGTATTATTATATATATTTAATCGAAAAAAATAACCAATATTCGGATAAATAATTTTAGGCAGATATACTATGCATTCTCCGGATATTCTCAATTGCACATAAGCTCGCAACTAGTTCCATCATATAGGTCAATGATATCTGATACTTCGTCATATCCTTGTTTTAATATTTGCTTGCGTACGTATTTATTTTCTATATATTTATTTTCTATTAATCAAAAAATAGATATATTTATTACAATAAGTAGAACGATTTATTTTATTTTATTCTTCCGGAATTTCACAATCTCCATATAAATATGTCGTTTCCATATCTTGTGCTATCCACAATTTTGTATCTAATGGGTTAACACTTCTCTTTGTTTGCGATATCCTATACATTCGATGTCTGTAACTTCGGAGGAATTGAGCAGTTCGTGGTTGATCTTCTTTCCCTTCTAAAACACAGTCCTCGAATATTTTATGTGTAAGCTCTTTCTTGATAAGAGACTTTTTAAGACCTTAGCCTTGATCATATTTTTTCGTGAATTTTCACACACAACGCTATAACATTTTGCACGAACTCCTGCATAGCCAATAGCTCTATCTCCTCCATTTTCATCCTTCCATTTACCTATTACTTTAGTATTTTTTAATACACGCTTACCTTCTTCATTAATTATCCATTGATCTTCTGGAAGATTTTTTACCACCCAATGCTCTTTGGGATAATCACTAAAATCAAATAAATCACAATCGTTTATCATGTCTTGATAAATATTTTCGGTCTCAATTTCTATGATTAATGAATCTGTATCAGTATATAGGAGTTTTACTTTATCCCCGTATTTCTTTTTGAGATAACTATACCAAAAGTCATACATATAATATTTAGAAAGATCGAGAATACATGATCCTACATATTCCGGCTTATTTAGTTTTACATTAGTCTGCCTTCGGTGTACAGCTACTAAGTTCGCCCCATAGAAAATTTTCCTACTAACAAATGCAGGATCTGAAATTAGTCTTCGTAGTCTGTGTTCTTCACCTACCTGACGAACCAAATCTATATTCACTCGCTTTCTCACATCCTCCATAGTTTTTCCAAATACTGAATTATTCATCAATTTCCAGAAGTCTTTTTCGAAAGCATTTTTTGCTTTTGCTCGTCGTTGTGTATTCATTGCTATATAGGGTTCCATCCAAGGAGATTGTTCGAAACCTAAAACTCTGTATACTTTTTCTAGAACATACCCCTCTCTTATACACTGCTGTAGATTTCTATAATGAATAACGTAATGGTCTTTATCATGTAGAGTTACTATAAGTTTTTCTGTATCGGGACGTTGTTTTCCTATCCATTCTTTTTGCTTTGATCCTTACCAATCATATGGTACTTTCATTTGTTCTGGACACATTGGATAGTCTCGAAATTTGGGATGCAATTCTTTTGGAATCGATAACTTTACTTCTAAACAACATCCTCGATTTGATTTTTCTTTTATCGTTAAAATTTTCTGCACTAAAGGTGAAGATGGCTCGACAGGTATTGATGTTAACCATTTAAATCCACCGGTTGGAAGATATTGAGACATTGCCCAACCATATAGATTATTAGCATCTAGATACAAAAGCCATTTTTTTGCTTTTTTTCCGTCATATCCCTCTAATCCAGGTATATTTGCTCTGGCTATGCGTCGTCTTGCTAAAGACATTCCTCCTCTCTTCATTGCTGTAAAGAAATCATGCATATCCCCTTGATGCTCATTAAATAATTCTAGCTTAACTTTTGTTACTTTCATACAAGCATCCCATGCTAAACCTGGTGCGGTTAAATAATTTGCTGGGTCGAGCTTGAATGCTGAATATGAGGCTTTACGGAATGCCTCGAATGCATCTGCTAAAATTAATACATCAGTTTTAAGATAGATATCGTGATAATCTCCAAAAGTCTTGCATTCTGTTTCTCGCCAGATCATATGTGCAAAATCATAATCCTTTTGAGATATGGTATAAATTTTTTCGTGTTCACATTCTTTATTTTCTTCACATTCATTGCAATTACCTGGTTCTTTTTTATGCTTACATTTCTGACATTTATGTTTGCATTTCCCTATCTTCTCTCCATGCTCACATTTTTCTATTCTACAATTATGATCACAGTAATTAAACCCATCTAAATCACTATTAAAATCTTTACGTGGTGGGAGCTGTGTCTCATTAAATTTTGTTTTATTATTTAACCATTGATACGGAAAAATTCCTTTACGCGTAAGCAATGATAACAAATGAGGTGAGATGAATTTTGACATAATTGGAAAACATTTGGCTAGTTGTTCTGGTGTTTTGTTTTCCCCCTTTTTTTCATCTTGTAAATTTTCTGCCATCTTAGCTAAACCCGGTAACGAAAATTTCATACTATCTATAAATTGAAGTTGCCCGACTGAGAAAGTGATATATTGTTCAGAATTATTTGCTATAGGCACTATTTTTTCATCCGTCACTTTTGCTATTTCTTGCATTAGATGATGAAAATCGTAGCCACTTCCATTACATAATAATACCGGAATTTTTATTGTTTCTGGATTGATTCGTAATTTTATATTACATCCACTATTGGGGTGTTACAAATTTCAATAAACACAAACATAGTTGACCACACATATAAAAAATCATATGTAAGGATTTTTTAT